AAGATGTGATTAAGCACAACAATATATTTTTGTTCATCAGGGAATGGTTTAAGCACCAACACCATTGATCGCTAAAAAAGCACAATGGTGGGCGGCTGTTTTGGTTCGGGCTCCGCAGGAGCACCAATAAAAACCGAAGGCATACGTTATTAAGTGTAGGAAGTACAAAAACACCCTCCTCCAGACGGCTTTCCACATGAATAAAAAGGAAACCCCAAGGGAAACCCAAGAAAAATGAAAAACAAAGAAGTATGGTCAAGAAGACGCTTGTTACTGTGTTTACAATTGATTTGCCTCTTTTGTATGTATATCCAGAAATTACAATAAAATAGGTACCTAGGTACAAAATTCAAAATTTTGAGTGACATATATCAATAGGGGGTCTAATGCTTTTATTTGGCCTATTTAAGATATGGATAAGAGGTAGAAGGGTAGAAGTTGTTGACAGCGCCTTATGGTTTTGAATTTTTGCTTGCATTTTCGAACACTTGTTTAGGGATAATTGTATAGACGTGAATATTAAATTAAATTCAATCATGAACTTCCCAGTGTAGCCATATTTAATAAGCACTTTATTCTTCTTTTGACACACGAATTAATAAATTATATGAATTTAACCAATTCGTATTTGTAAAAGCGTTGGTGTATACCCCTAATAAAACACAAATTTTATATCTGTGTAAAAGGAGACTGGAATACTACCTAACGAAAATGACAATCAAAGCTTCATTCTTATTTAAATTTTGGTATACTCGTAGAAAGTACTTTAGCAATGGGAAGTTTTTTAATCAACCCTGTATTTAGTGAACACGCTGCTCAATTAAATATACAACTGAAATATTTCGCCTGAAGCTTTGTTTACAGCTATAATTTCAGTTTCAGTTGTTGAAATCGCCAGCTTTCTGTCTCAGCAAAGATATTGCTACTGTAGTACAATATAATAAACTGTGAGACACGTCAGAAACTAAGCCTACTCCATTTTTATTAAAAAAATTACATTTAACATTTGTACATACATGTAACCCATTTTTCATCATCGTCGCCATTCCTTTCGATGAAAAAATGCCTCTTTTATTTACTTCTTCAACTCCTCCAATGAAAATCTGTTTCTATCCATGTACACCTTCAGGGAAGTTAAAAATCAACTGAACATTTTGCGAGAAGAGCGGTTACCGGTTACATTTCGCAGTGAATGATGCCGTTTATAACAAAAACCGTATGAACTTAACGCGAAGAAAAGCAATTTGGATCAATGCCATCAAGATACGCTTTCATTAAAAGAATCCATGTTGTTTAATGAAACAACTAGGGAAACTAATTGGAAAATATATTTGATCCAAAGCTACGTCCGAAGCGCATAATCGAAGGGTGGCATGTTAACGGTATGTTAATAAACACGATTTATGGCTCAACTTACAGTGAGATTAAACGCAGAAGAAACGATTACGTTTTTAAAGGAATCGGCAAAAAGTCCATTTTACAAAATGATATATGAAACTTGGAAGTTTTAATGTAAAAAAGCTTCCAACAAGATCAAGATTAAATAATGGTGGTTTAATCTGTTCGTTGTGTAACATTTTTACGATCTTGTTTAAAATTGCTATTGCAAACGATCGTAAAAACTAAACAGAAACGAACAATTGCGACTAATAGTGATGTCATTTTCCATTTCATCACTGTTGATTAAGTACGAAAAGTGCAGTGTTGTATTTACTTCGCTTCTGTATGGGTTTAATTTAGAAGTTACTGAAGTTCAGCATAAGGTTGGCCATTTAAGAGAGGATTTTAGTTTTAGGTGGGTGCGTTATTAGGGGATCCAAGAAATGCGTGTTAGTATGTAACCAGGTCTTTCTAAGGCATCCCTATTATGAAAACAGTAAACAAATTGCCATAACATTTTTATAGGGCTATGTATGTTATAGTTGTCAGAAGTTCTTAGACTGTGATACATTTTCTGACGGCGTTGTTACAGTGCTGTAGCGGAATATTTATTTGACACATTTGAACTATTGTTTGCAATTACACTAAACAATCCTGTTGCTAGCAAAAAAGTTTAATAGTGGGTATATAAAGAGCGATTCAAAAATTAGCCCCTCCTCATCCATTCCATGCTTTGCAGGTGGCCCACCAACTTAGCTGTTTGCTTTCTATAGTCTATTATCTACTGTACTTGTAACTATTTTCTTACATCTTGGTCTCGTAATCTCTTCTTGTGATGCGCGTTACTCTGCGCAGAGATTTCATGTCTATTGCCTGTATTTTGCTTTTATCTTTTCTCCCGAGCGTCCATGATTTGCCATATAGGTATGTCAGATTGGTCTGAACAGTGGCTTGTGGACCATGATCTTTATCTTCCTTGAGACCTCTTTTTTGGCAATGAAATTCTTATTTAGCGCATGGTACATTTTTGCTGCTTTGTGAATTTTTTCATTAATTTCCGCTTCTTTATTTCTTTTGTCGTCGATCTGTACACCAAGGCAGGTGTATTGTGGCACTTTTTCAAGTTCTGCAATTAACATTAATTTAGCCTTGACCTTCATTCCATTTTCTTCTGGAATTGTGATCCAAACGTTTAGGCTGTCTTGGAGGTCATTTTTGTTTTCGGTGGTGATCACATGCCATCTGCGAATGCACATGCTGTTATTTCTATTATTATTACGACAACAAACATTTCCAAGTTAAAGATTTTTAGGGATTTCGTATTTTTAATCTGCACGTTATATACGGGCTGGCGTAGAAACTTGAAATTACGTGTAATTTGTGAAATTGTAAGTTATTACGCAAAAATTACAAACACGAAATTATAAGCGCACAGCAGAAACGTATCACATGTCTTGTAATTACTCAAGTAACGAAATATTTTATTTCACCTTTCCATCCAGGTTTCCACACACAAATTCTACTACATGCATCAAACCATTGAATAAAAATAGTGTTTTTATTCAATGATCAAACGCAGTTTCCCGAATGCAGAGATTAAGGTCAAACTACTGCGAGTGAAGGCAAGTAAGTTTAATACTCGTATAGGCGAAAACTATAGGGATAATTATGAACCCACTTCGCTGTTGCTTTAATACATACACTCGCAACAAATACAAACTTCAAAAAGTCTCGGCAGAATGTAGACAGTAGGGTTAAAGTATAAAAAATGTAGCTCAAGGGTTTTCAACTAAAACATTTGTTCGTGAAGTGCTTTGTTGCATAATATAATCCACCCTTAAAATGTGGATAGTGGATTATGTCACATGGAGCAGAAACACATTTTCAATTGTTACAGAGGTTCATGTGACCTAATTTGCATTTACCAAACGCTTTGTGTTTCGTGTGTACCAAAACTTTGATACAAGGAAAAAGAAGCGAGATTGAAAATTAAGAATTCAAGATTTTCCTATATAAAATTCCGCTCGGCGTTGAGGGGCGCAAAATATTTTACAGCTGCCTTAAATTATCCCAAATTTTAGGAAGCCGCCCTAAGCTTGCAACATCTCCGTTGTTTGAAATGGGGGAATATCACTATTGCTATTGTTGAAATGAAAGGTTTTTTGCGAACAGTGTTCAAGTGGAAAATTTCATCAAGCTAAAATTATGTATCTAAACGTATTTACGTGTATGGAGCCTTGGGTATATCTTTTTGAGCTAAAGTTATTTTCATAGGATTCCTTATTTGATGGACCACTTTTTTTTAGATTATGCCATATGTTTTAATTTAATCACCCATTTTTCTTCTACCTATTTCGCAATCCGAAACCCATGTATTAATGTGTAGCATCAAGATCTGACATTTATTTTTCTATGTTCTTTCCAAGGCAACCTAAACAATACCGAACTTAAATATAATACAAGAACGTCTTGGATATGATGTGCGTGACATCACATTTACGTTTCAAGTATCTTTCACACGCCCGTCTATTAGAACTCACGACTGTTTCTTTCTCTTTTTCTCTCTGAGGTTTTTATATCGATGCTATCTTCTCCATACTCACCCTCGGCTACACGAATATTGTTGTTTTATCAAGTGGCCAATTGATTTCGTCCTTCTCTTCCAATGTTGGAGTTGGCATTAGAATCAAATGAAATCGCTCTGTAAATCTACAGCGTCTCGTAATCGTCAGCCGCCTCTTTTCATTATTTTAACTGCCGATTCCACCAATCCGTTACTCTGAGGACACCAGGAGCTACTCGTGATATGAATAAAAAAATTTCCTTCCATCGGAAATGGGAATCGGGAGTAGAAATCCGTGACTAACACAAACCATCGTCCATCCAATTGAATTAAACCCTTCGCGAGTCGTTGCAAAGGGTGGACAGGAAGCATCGACGGTATCAGAGGCTCGTATCGATTCGTAGCTTCGTTAATGCAAATGGGGCAATTTTTCACCAAATCTTCTAATTGTTTTGACAAACCTGGCTACCACATGGACTGTCTGGCCATCGCTTTGCCTTTTACCATTCCCAAATTCCCAAATGAGCGCCGTGTATGCGATATGAAATTTGCTATTGCCAAATCGATGGTATTACGATATGGGACACCTTTAATAAAATTCCGTTGTCGACAGAAATGTCTCTACGAGCGACGTTGCCAAAATCCTTTGAATTTTATAATCTCCCCTCGTAGACATGGGGTATCCGCCACAAGAAAAATCCTAATATCGACTTAAAATTTCTCAAAGCGAGAGACTCGCGGCTATCCTAGATCAAGTTCCCACAATTCCAAAGAATGTATTACAGAAATGTTGACAACACCTAAAATTTGGACACCAATCAAAAATCTGACATCAAAAATTCTATCTGGGTCGCACTTTGGATTCGAATAAACACAATTAATTGATTGACAATGACCAAAATTTATTCTGAAATGCATGAAACAATTAGAACAATTTCCTTTAAAGAAAGAAAAGTTTACAAAGCTTGTTTGGACAAGATACCCCGTGCTCAGGCGGTCAATAGCTAAAAATAAAAAAAATCTTAAATTAGCTTTCTTGTCGTCATGTGTGTTCTACAGAAATATCTTTTTCCGTCAGAATTTTGAATCGTACACTATGAGAATGAAGAGTTTGAGTTTCGAAATTTTAAAATTTTGGAGTTTGAGGTTTGCAATAAGCTTCAGTCTTGAGAAGCGATTGAAACAAGATTTCAGTTAAAGATTATATTGAAACCGTCGCAAAGAGTTTTTTTTAATAAAGGGCGATCATTATTCATATAACAAAGAACACAAGCGAAAGGTTTCTGTTAAATTAGGTATATGCGTATGACAAGGGTCACTTAATTAAATTCAATCGTCCATGTTGCTCTGTTTATACTGCAATTACCATTGAAACGAACTACCTACAACAGCAAATTCACAGAAAAATTACTCAACCTTCGTCTTCAATAAAGTCGACAAACCTTTTTAATCAAAGAGTGTTGAATGTCTTTTCTAAATTCAAAATTACACCTTTCGTTGACTTACGTTTACATCTTTTCTCCCCTTGCAAGTTTCTATATTAAATTTGGCTGCTGAGTATGCGTAACATATTGCTCGAATTTCAAAATTACTCAACAAAGCGTCGCCTGTCACGCATTCGGATGATTTATGAAGCCGATCCGTCGATTTATACATTTTAAACAACGCACCTTTCCTCCCTAATGATTATAAATCGTTTATGTTTTTATCTTATATTCCCTTACGTGTGTTTGGGCCAACCGCAGAAATTGCACCGGCTGGAAAACGTTAAACTAATAAAACTGATGTTGCCCTTTTCAACGTTTACTTTTTATTACCGAATTTTGTATTCGAAATGGAATTTTACAATGTGTACTAAAGTGGTACGCTAAGCGTGAGTAGAGTTGAAATGCAATTCGTGAGAATAGTGGAAAAAGTAACGCTGCCGCATTCTCTAGTTAGCTTTACCGAAAATAGGAAATAATAGTCACTGTTATTATAGTCCATTTGCATAGTAATGGTGCAATTTTTGCTTCCGCTTCGTACATTGCAAAGCTCTATGTAAAATATCAAAAAAAGTTAACTCAAAGACGTTCGCTGTAAAGTGTGATCAGATTTCTAACGAACTTTTAATTAAAGACTTCGATAATCAACTTCTAAATCTCAATTAGGTGAACATTGCGCAGAAAGGCAAATAAGGACATTTTCAAAGCAATGTAGTACAAGACTTGGACGAAGTCTAATTAAGCAATTTTTTCCACCCAAAGAACTCTTGCGTCACCGAGGCGCTGTTAATTAAAACTTGTTTTGCAAACTGTAGGTTCGGTATACATTATTCTTTCACGTTTTACAGTGACGCATTTCATCTCTACTCAATATCATTTATACCTTATGGTGGAAGTCTACCACATCTACATTCTAGAGATTTTATAAGATTCCGAGCTAATACTACTTACCTACTTTTAGTCCCCATGTTGTTGTGTTACTAAAGGTTCATACAGAGTTGAGCTTTAAGCTAATTGAATTCGCAATAAATCTCATTAACCCCCGCATGAAACTCTGCAAACCCCGTAGGCAAAGAGAACGTAAATATGGAGGGAATAGTCTAATTTTGTGCAGATTTTCAAGTTAAAAAAATGTAGAAAGGAAGAAGTGCACTCACTATCCATTTAATCGCTCTGTTCCCGTAGATTCATTAAATATGCATTTAAACATCCCGTAGGTAACTATTGGTCTTAAGTTCAAAGATTTTTTTTGTCCAAGAATCAATATTTTTTTAGTTATTCGTGACTGAAAGTGTATTAATATGTTTCATCGAGAAAACGTATTTTTCTAAATGATTTTTCACGATAACTCAAAAATTAGCATTTTGTCTCAATTTGGAAAAAACTTTTTACAAATTGTTCAACTCATAATGTACCTATTGTGTTTGTTCTATATCTCATATTATTGTATATAGTTATCAGTATCACTCTCATTTTTTCCCTCCACTTCCACTCATCTTTCCTGTATGTCTTCCGCCTCTTTTATTCCCCCCTCCCATTCCCTTATCTCTTTTTTGACCACTATTCATATGCCTTTCTTTCATTTTTGTTATCCCTCTTCGCAAATTGGTTCTACCTTATGTATTCACTCCTGTTCTTTATTTTCACACTTCTTTTATTCTGTATTCTTTAAGGGACAATACGTGTAACTTTATAATCGATCCAAATATTTTCTGCTTCTCTTCGCAGAAGCTAATCTTCTCCACCTATCGGCCTGGATCAGTAACGTTGCTGACGCCGTCAGCCTAATTCGTGTTCCAGCGCAAGTTTAAACTAACACCGATTTGAAGATTTCCGTAGTGTGAACCACAGTGGATACCCTCAAAGCTATCGAAGGCACTGGAAACGCCAAAAGAAAAGTTATAGCAGCGTCCTCTAAAGCGCAGGGAAAAGTCAACGGCATTCCTCTGTAATGAGTCCAAAAACACAAAAGGGCGCCAATCATTGGGTCTTAATTTATAATAATGTTTCAGTATCCGGAACTTTTTGTGTGAATTTTTGAAGAAAAGCTTTTTTATTATTTCTTAAATTTGTTAGTAATAAAATTCGATAAAAAGTTAAGTCGGAGCATTAATATTTGCTACGGGGGTTCCTTCTGGACTTGAAAATTACCATCGGTTCCGCCCGGCAAGGCAAACCGTCTTCTCCTCAAGCTGCGTAACAAATAAAAATAAATGCTCCGGCTAACTCAAATCGGTGGGCTTTTAACTCTTTCCTACTGCGTAACAACCTTAACCTGCCGCCTACCAGTCTCCTGCCTCAACTCCTACTCCTCTCTGTCCTTCCCCTCGTTCTTCGTTAAAGACATAGGCACATTGGAACCAAGTAGATAATATATTTAAATGATATGATAGATACAAACCAATTTCAGGGATCTAGCAATTCTTCTCTCCTCCTTGTAAAAAAAATGTAGCTTAACAATGAAAACTAACTTAAATAAAAAATCCTACCAAGTGAGACTAATTTACTCAAGGGGTGGCCATCCTCTACAGTTTGAAAATTTCAACAACAGGTCATCGGTTTTTACTCCAGCGTGGGCTGGGACTTATTTAAATAAACACAAAATTTTATCCTACTCTTTGGTAATTGTTCATTGGACTTTAATAAACAATCAAATCAAAATTTTACTATAGCTTGATTACCAAAAAGTGGGATTTTACAGAACGTTACAAATTTAATTAGACTAACCTTTACAATATTTGTACAGCCGATCTTGTGAACTGCTCTTTCCTCTGGTACAAGGTGGATATGATGAAACCTGACACTTAGGTCTATGTGACTTCCTAGGGGGTGGCTTGAAGTTAACACACGGAAACAAAATCCACGGTGCCTATCCTTCCTCGGAACGAAAACAAGGTTTAGTGTTTGAACGGAATCTTAGTCCAGGAAATCCTTCGCGTGGCGAGTGGGAGACGGCTAGCTGCCAAAGTTTCTACACAGCATGTGTATTTAATTTAACACAATGACTATTCCTTTCCACCGGCTCTTCTTGGGGCAAATATCTCTCCAAAGCGCAGCGCTCCTTTGACAAATGATCGTGCGGCACTAGTAGGAAATTCCACCTGGGGCGGATCCCGAAATTCTGCGCCTTGAGGAATAGGGCAGCACTTTGAATTATATATCCTCAAGAAATCACAACGTATCCTAACGCGATTCACTGCATCCAAAGTAAACTGGTGTGAAGCTCAAAAGGTTCGCCTAAATATCACTTGATCGGAACCGGGGTTTTCGTCGCCGAAAATTCAACGCGAAAAGAAAATAACACTTCTAAACGGGGTGCAAAAAGCACGCAACTGGGAGCAACCGAAATAAACCGGTGGCTCAAAACGCTAAGTGTACCAAAACGATCGCTCAAGGTACGTGTTGACCCCTTGACGTACTAGACGCGAGTCTTTTTAAAACGATCCCCTTCTTCAGAATTCAAATGAAAAAAAACCACACCCAAATTACCATAACACAAAAATGGCTCCCGCTAGAAATTCTCCCATTGGTTTAGATAAAGAAGACTTAACCCCCTCTAGCTTCGTCGTCGACTTCCACGAACTGCTGATTAAGCGAATCTCACGGTTTTCTGCTGACGAAATGAAGACCACTGATCCCTTGATGACTGGGTGCTATTTCCGCTCCTATTCTCGGTCTAGGCGGCGCCTCGGGTGATTAACGAACGACAAAACTCGCATTACTCATGATGACGTCAATCAACTTTGCAATCTTCCCACGACGAAATTAAATTTGAGCGAAATTAAATCTACCGTACTATAGTCTTGAGCGAACCGAAATGCCCAAATGTAAATGATCACAAAATTTCTAATCGGAACAAATCATGAAATATACAGGGTGACCTGCACTATCATGACAAGAAATTTCGAATTTTTTAAATTAACTTCGGCGCGAAATAAAACCACTCGTTACAGTACCCCCTTCTGTTTTTTAAACGAATAAAACCTGATGAGCTTTGAAAAACAACAATAAAAGAAAACGAGTACTTCCTTTAACCTACAGAAATAATCAATATTGAATATAAAGTCGTCTACACCCATGTGTCCTCAACACCCTTATACGGACCTTAACTTGTTGAAGGAGGAAAAAATTTGGCAAATAGCACTGTGGAAAGAACCCACCTCTTGCACTACATACAAAAAGCGGTACTTATGAACGCCACAACATAAGCACTCAACAAAGAAGTGTTGACCTTGACACGGGGGCTGCAACCACCCAAATATTACAACGATTCCCGAGACGCGGGGCGGTCTGAGGGACCTACGAAGGGAACATAACCCTATCTCAATCCTAATTAAAAATCAATTGTCCTATACCACTATAATCAACAAAACTCCTACAAAACTGCTAACGTGGTAGGACCTTCACCATTCCTGGCGGTATTGCCTCTGAAGACAAACACAACAACTCTTAAAATCTCGCGAAAACCCAAAATCTCCTTCGCAACACGGTTCCATAGCTGGAGAGTAGCTCTTGAGCTCGCCTCCTGATCGTTCAAAATGTGTTAACTAAATATGTCAAAATCGGAAATGTCAAAATCGGAAAGTAGTGCTTAAAACCTCGAGTAATCAGACCATAGAACCTTAATCTATCCCATAACATATATACATAGAAACTAACTTAGCAAGATATAATCTAATAGAACAAATGCCTCACTGTTGCAATACGGGGACGTGACAAAATCACAGGATAGGGACATGCCATCAACTGCGGGCACACGGACTTATCGGAAAAAGGCAGTTGTGACGAGGTGAGCTTTTGATTAGTCGCCTCTTACGACATGCAGTGCTCTCTGCATTAGGGCTATTCTACCAGTAGCAAGCTACTCCCGGCTCTTACGCGGGGTTCTGTTAAAACATGTTACGGTAACAAATAAACCAATGAACAGATACATCCTAATGATGACCTCCTCCGCTTCTACACCAACTCAAAACTCCAGAAACTAAAGATTATATGGGGGTTTAAACCCCAAAATACGACTTGACTAATCCTGAAAAAACAACTTGGCCTAACTACTCCCCTGGACTTCTATAACCCTAATCGTTCCCTAACTCATTGTGCACTACTTGAACTGTGAATTGTTGTATAGTATACAACATAATTAAAAATCTGCGAAATCTGCAAATTGAGAAGAGGAAAAAATTTTCCAACGGGATGAGTATAAGTAAACATAGCTGTTTGTTTGGACCGAGGCCACGCGGATTACATTATCCTTGCGGGGGATTACATTTTCAATCGACTTTTGCAGGAAGTAAAGTTTCATTTGAATCAGAACCTATTTTAATCAAGTTTGTGAATATGTTCGTTTTGCATGCCAACCCT